ACTGAATGAAAAGAGACCAGAAATTTAGAATACGTTTGCTCAACTTAATAAACACCCTCATGCGACAGGAATCATCTATTAAAAAGAATGAACTCCCATGCTGCTTTGCCTAAAATAGTTTCCCAATCAGAGCTAACTTTCGAACTACTACAAATTTTATCGCGACGCTCAAGGTCGCGCAAATTCAAATGGTGACAGAAAAGAACTAAGAACATGGATGTTGGAGATAAAGTCAGGAATAAGTACATTTTACTCATAGCCATTTATGTATGAGTATGATATTGCAAGCTGAAATAGATTTCCAAAATGAGGGTGATGTTGCACGAGTTTGGTCAACGCCTCTAATAACGTTTTGGGTTTCGTACCTCTAAAGTTCCGAAATATTTTACCCGGGGATTCGCTTGATCCCGCCCCAAATGCTGTATTGTCTGCTTAGTCAGGTGATTGCATGTACCTTGGTTTGTGAATCTTCTTCACGATTAGTTTCTTTCTAATCCGAGTCGTACGGATATAATGGATGGCCGGAGGGAGCAATGGATATACAAACCGAGTCACAGGAACAAGTCACGCATTTGTAGCGTACACATATCTTGTCCGGGATCATGTCCAAGACAACCAGAAACAAACTAGGCGACAGATACAGACCCATGTACGACCTGCAGCTGATCATGAAGACAATGCTAGAATAACCCAACCAGACAGCTAAAATTTGATGCATCGCTCTCAACCGTTGGACCAACCGGACAGGGACAACATGGGGGGAAAGGAGCCTATAATTCGCTGTCTGCCCGAAACTAGCCAACCATATGAATCGTACATTGCTCCACTGCGTTATAGTGAACTGGCTGTGTGCGTGTGACTTCATTACGGATTGGAATATAACACGCTTGTACAACCCACAGGTTTTGTCTGTCACAATGTGGGGTGACAAAGTAACATCCGTTTGTTTGTCCGGTGTGTGACACTGGATGTAGTTGAACCGGTTTGACCTAATGGCGCTGAGATATGTTCACTATTCATGGAACATGATTTTTGGCACTTAAATGTGAATGCCTTTACAAAATTGCACGCAATGAGTACGATAACCGAGCAAAGGGTGTTCAGATTAGAGATAAGGTATATGATAAAATCCAAAACCTTTCGGACCACCATTTTCGAAACAAAAACAGTACGCATTGCCGAGACAAAACTGTTTTCGCTCGTCTGACAAGCCCTGTGGAGACATCACACGAATCAGACAAACTGTGGTACATCCATCTAATTTGCGTGATGCTCCCGGCAGATTTTGGTGGGCACTTGATAAGGAGCACACCACTCTGGTCACGGAAATATGTACTTTGCTACTGGCACTCCGTAGTTGGGCTTTGATAATGCTTAGGAACTATGTGATGCAGGAAATGGAACCACAGAAACCCAGATGATATGAAACAGGTTATGCGCACATTTTCAGATAGATATTGTCCACGGGCATCATTCGCTAAGGTGGGTAACGGTAGGAGGAAGACCCACGACAATCAATCCATGACAGAGACAAGTGAACTACAACCTCATGTGGAAGACTCCTCTGGCGTTGAGAAACTTTGGCCTCACCAGAAATTCCGGCTGTTCGTGTANAGTTCCGACCCAGTATGAACCTTGACTAGTTGATCAAGCAAACCACCTACAATTTGCATTATACATCAAGGTCGAGATTCGGAGGTTGGGAATGGTCGGTTTCTTGGTATGCACTGACCACAGCGTTTTGTAGCTATGCAATACGGTGCAAGATGCCAGGCATCGCTCGTGNCGCTCGTGACAGAGCAATTCGAGTCTCACACTCGAAATTATTTCTAAAACCATAGGGCTTGAGTAAAACATCTAATAGACACATGCCCTAAAGGTATGATGAAGCAACAGATGCGCACATTGACAACTTCCCATGACAAGTGAGACAAGGCAGATTATCTTATATAATGCATATTTATTTTTACGCACGATTGACGTATATATGTATAGATATATTTGTGTGTATGAATATTTATGTATATATGATAGTGTGTGGGTGACAGAACAAAGCAAAAGGAGGGAAGAGGGGACGAATGGAAAGGTCTGTGTGGGTGGGGAGGGAGAACGAAGAGCAGAGAAGAGTGAACAAGAAATGTCAGCTCAATGAGTGCTCGGATGTACAGTGAATAGATGAGACAGAGAGAGAGAGAGAGAGAGAGAGAACGGGTCACACACACAATAGATGTATTCCGGAAAGTGAGAAACAGTGGTGCGTCCACGGTGAGATGAGGAAGAATAATGGGCCGGGTTTATCAATCGAATCAATTAGGACTCCCCTCCTCCCCGTGGAGGAGGAAAGGGAAAGAATATGAGCATGAGTTTGAATTGAACTGTATCACTGTTCGTTTATTTGTGTAGAAAAGAGAAACCTGACCGGATCACGGTCTCCGTTCTCGAGGGGGGCTAACAGACGACAGAACGGGGTGTGTGAGAGACAGACATAAACGATGGCAGAACCCGGTAAGCATAGATGAGGCCGTTTAGTCAGCGATGAAAACACAAAGAGGCAGAGGGACAAACGGGACTTAACGAGGATAATGACTCGCATTAATGGGTTTTATTTTCCTGTGTGTTTGGATACGTTCGTGTTTTGTTGGATTACCAAGAAGCCCGGGTCAAAAGCGATCGTATGAGAATCACGTGTAGTGTGCCGCACATATGAGTCAGGCAAATACGTTGGTATAATAAAAGTGACCAATCAGTGCACAGGACTAGGATTGTCCACAAGATTAGTGCGGTGCAGGCTAGTTAACCAACCGGTTGGTGAATAAGGATTATCGATTGTCATGATTTGGAGAATAAGCACCCCGTCAGAAAGCTGGGTGTAACTGAGTTTTATCCGAATCGGGGCAAGTAAATAATGATAGTAGTAGTAATGATAGGAACAGCGTAGTAGCAATAATATTAGTAATAGTATAGCGGCTGAGATTGACCGAAAAAGAATGTATGATGCGAACAGCATGAATTAGGTAAGAAAAACGAATCTGACGTCAATGATAAATGAACTAGTGTTGAGTCGTAAACTGGAAACACGCACACACACGTGTGTGATGCCTAGCGATGCAGTTCGACGGTTAAGGTGTCTGGAACGGCCTGATGATTGCGGTGGAAACGACGAGGGCATGGCAAATTAGGGCACCTGAGGACGGAGAAATCAGGGAAATAATAACGATGTGTACAAACGATGAGTCATTGATCGACGGAAATCATGATCATAAAACCATAACCTCCACACGCACACATACACACACACACACACACACACACTATATATATATATATATATATATATATATATAACAGTGATGTAGATAAGAACGGAACCGATAGTACTCTGATAACAAAATTACAGCGTTTACAGATGCTTACATTTCGACGGGATGCATCGACAGAGCGAGAGCGAGAGGAAAATCGGCTATTTTGGCGTAGATCGGATCTATTTTGTTAAAGTTGAAAAGGTCGAGGCAAACAGGACTGGAACAGATAGCTCCGGAAATGTCACCTCTCCTCCCCGGTCTATAGGAAATGTCAGTGCATGATCACACACACCATCTGGGTTTTAGTTCAAACTTTCGCACTGGGAATGTCACGGGTAAAGTGAAAAATGCAGTGATCGAAGTGGGGCCCTAAACACTTTTTCCACTGTCAATTGGATGAGTCAGCCAGTAGAGACAGAGAAAGAGAGAGAGACACAAGCACAGGAATATTGAACAGCGACGGGGGTTATTTCGACTAAATTTGTGTCAGTTAAGTGGGGGGGGACGAACAATTAGCGGTTGTGACATATGGTAATTGGTGGGATCAGTAAACTCCTTAAGATGTGTAGTAATAAATTACTACGGGACCGTCATATCATATTTTAGGGAATGGTTGCAACGACTACGGACCAGTGAGTGCAGTTGTCTTAAGTGAATAAGCGCGGATAACTCGCATTTGGTCTCCCTTGGAATGGAGATGGAGAGTACAAAACAGCTGGTATGAGTGAATCGTGCCTGAACTCAAACCAAGAAATGCACAACGAACGATCAAAATGGGTTTGACTCTCACTTACCGGTAGAATGTTTGCTCAGTCGCCAAGCGATGCAATCATCCACTGTGAAAATGTAAGTCGGAGTGCGGAAGAGAATAACGCGCGTGTGGGGTAGGAGCGCAAAAAGTGCTATGGATTCATCGCTTGGAGAGCATCATCATCATCCAAGGGGTTGGATGAGACAAACGACGAATGTCAACAATGGCCACGAGGATTTTGCCGGAGGATTAGTCCCGTTCTCCTCGATCCAACAGCATACACAGGCGTGAGAGAGAGAGAGTGCGATGTGAACGGAATAGCAATATGCGAAATGGAGAGTGATAAAGATGGTAACACAGGCGGGGAAAGAGAGGGAAGGGCACGGGCGTACAACGTGGTAAACAGCACGCTAATGCGAAAAACAACACAGGTGAGACTCTCCGGCAGAACAAAGCTCGTTGAAATTAGTGTGTGAGAGAGAAACGACGACAAAGAAGGGAAAAGTTAGGAACCGGTGGGTACAGACAGAGAGAGGGGGTCAGACCAGGACTGCAAGAGAGACCAAAAACAAATAGTCTTCGCATCGAGTGCGAAACAGTACGGGAACCGGAAGTGGGAGATTTGCAACTGTGGCATCAGGCCGATGGTGAAGCACTAAGGTTAGGGCTGCAGAAAACATAAAAACGACGGCGAAATCGGATACGAGCAAGGCGGTATGCATGTTAGAATGATAGGTGGGAGTAGTGAATCGCATGTTGGGCAAGATCACGATCAATCCGAGACGAGATGGGAGATGGATTGACTACACGATCAGCATCGGTGTAGGTGAACAATGTTGACACAAACCTTATCACCAAAAGTACGACGCGTTGTGTGTTTGAGAGAGAGGGGCAGAGATTCAGATCAGCCCGGACCGCTGAGGGACGAATTGCTCGACTGAAACGAGCTAGATTGCACTTTCCGGCTTGGTACGTATCTCCACTTGACCCACGGTATTATTCAGCACGGACGTATCCCGATCCAGTTTAGTCACCTCGTGTAAAGCCATATCCAGGGCCTGTGAAACAATAAGGACAATACAATCAATATCATCGATAAGAGTGATTCGAATGACACGATCTGTCAATGGCAGTCAGACCTATGTATCGAACAGAGACATGAGCAGGCCACATCAAAAAGAGGTTGTTAAGCTCAGGTACAACAAACGGGGGAAATGAAATAGTACGACAGACGATTGAAGCGATGAAGAGGGAAACAAAAAAATCTTTAAAAAAACTTATACATATAACGCTCTGATCGTGTGACAAATAACTTATGCAAAGAATTCGGCACCATGAACTGAGGGTGAATATTTCCGGACTGTATAGCGTGAAGCGCCTAAGTGACTAGAAGTACAAGTGCGCATTTGAACGTTGACGAGAGATGAAAATCAGCCAGGCCTTCGAGTTTGACTCAGAAAGATGACTGGCCAATAAAACTTTGTCCGTCTGATCTGGGAATTGTATTTTAAGGCCCTAATGAATGTCGCATTGCTGACGCGTCTCAACAAGAGGAAACAGCTGTCTAGCGATTTTCATCAGTCCTTACGAAGAATACCGTAGCCAATGAACATCATGAGATGTTCGTACATTCAAACGACTAAGCTGACCGCCAGGGAGTAGGTTTCGTCACGACCAGCATCGACTTGTTCACCTTCGAGATGGTTTAGCACCCAGCACTTCTGACCGAGGCCAATATCCATGAACGACTAGTCAGATTCTGACCAGTTCGCATTAAATATCGACCTTGCGTAAAGTGCTCCCGAGAAAGCACATACATCGCTATTCACTAATTTCACCTCTAAAAGGACTGTGCCGACTCAGGAGATCACGGGACCTATTCGTTCCACTTCTGCTTGACAGTGTGCTACAGAAGCACATCATCTGAACAGGTAGTTCCCTGCGTTTTGGTGATATCCGGTTTCGCAATCCTCGGGCTTCATAACAGACCGACTTAAATGGATTATTGTGAGGTTCTCCGTTCTCGGTCTGCAGTTTCACTAGTTTCGGTTTCCATTACAATGATCACAAAATAGATTTAGGAGACATCATTGATCAGAACCCCAGCGTCACCCCCCTCCCCCCCCCCAGAGGATGAGGGAAATGGAAGCGAGAACAGTCCACCATCCAATTCGAACCTCACCAGATGGGCACTGTACTGGTAATCAAGATAACGCCAACCAACTTTACTGATAGGCAACTTTGTTATCGTTCGAATAGACACCACACTTACTGTAGTTCACTATTCCAAGACTCAGAACTCAGGTTGCTAATTGCCATGGATGAACCACGGGGTTCATTCTTTCCGCCGTTTGTCTAATCAATGTGTACAATACCATTTTTTAAGATCCCCGAAAACCAATTGGGTGTTTGCCGAGTTTTCTTCCGATGCGAAACGGGTACACGCAAAGAACGGGGGACCACAACAAATTGACTCTCGTAATCGGTGGAAACGATCAAACAGGGCAGCCAATCAGTCAGGTAGATGTATCAAACGAACAGGGCGAAACGGGTGCTGTTGTCGTACGACAAATAAAAATCATACGAACCCCTAAGAATAGGTATAATACACGATAACTACCGAAAAGAAACATGAACCGTGCACCATTTACAGGTAGGAAGAGGTGAAGTTTGTTCCAGATAACAACTAGCAATTAAACGGAGGGGAGACATATTCCCAATGGAAAACGAAACGGTGTGAATTGCTTCAACTTCTTCGTTTACGGACAAACACACAGAGTAGGATAGATGAAGGAGGTGAGACAAGTCGTTACGGATTCGTTAGGAGCGTTCTGAAGGCGGACAGGATAAATGCCAAGCTGTGTTTGTGCCGAATTCTCGGTGCACATTACACACGTCCGGAAACCGATGTTGCATGGTGATTTCCGAGAACAAGTGGTTTAAATAGGGGGGGGGGACAGACGATGTTCCCGGTTTATAAGCGTGTAAACTGAAAATTTTAGTTACTCTCATCTTTCAAGTGACCACTGGAATATTTCCACACCAAGACCATACTTGTACTGCAGTTATTGCAGGAGTAATCGGGAGACATAAGTAAAAGACGAAGGTGCATGTTAAATCTCGTTTCCAACAGTGTATTCATGCTTTTATCTACCCGAAAAATGCAACAATCAAACAGCGAAAGACCGGGGTTGAAAGAAATGAAACGTTGCATAATATCACACATATTGGATCTCGTTAGCTCAGACATGCCGATGACCCAGCAGGTAGAAAGGATGGAGGATACAGCTGCGGTAGCGCTCACTTGTCAGTTGGAAGTCGGGGTAAGTATCATTTATTGATAAGCCATAGAATGCGGAGCGATGTAAACAAGAGCATAGATGAATAATGCGAACAAAGAGCGTGCAACATGGGAAGAGAGAGTATACTTACCCGATCAAAGTCGTCCGCACGCACAAGTCCATTGGTCTGGAACACGAACGGTGTGCATCCGGTGGTAGAGTGGAAGATGGGGCCGGAGAGGGAACGATACCAACGGATAATAGGGGAGGGGAGAGAGAAAATCATTCGGGGGGGG